CATTCGCAGGGGACGTGGGCGGCGGGCGAGATGTCTTTTCCCTGACCTCGGTGACAGCTGCCGCTGCGCCTCGGGCGTGACAGCAAAGTGCAGACACTTAGCGAGGGCAGAGCCCTGGGACAGCCACCAGCAGGACACTGCCCTCCGTCTTTCACTCTTGCTGGTGGCTTCACGGAAAAGATTTGAATGCCTAATTCTTCCTCGGCTGCAATGCAGCGCATAAAACATCCTTCTCTTCCCTTTGCAGCTTTGATAAGCATCGCCCAGCACTTCTGAAGATGCTGGAGGCGCTCAAAGTCTCCCCCTCCCCCTCCCCCTCGGAGTCTCTGATGCGCTGGGATGAGACACAACGGCCCAGGCCTGAAGTCACGTTTCCGTTTCCCTGCCGCCACCTGGCAGGTACGAGCAGCATCCAGAACGTGGGCGTCAAAACCTTCTCTGAGCAGCAAGAAAAAAAAAAATGGAAGGATTTCCAAGCCTCCCCCCTCCAGGGTTCCCCCCCGCCCCCGACCAGACAACAGCTTCAGACAGTCTCCTGGGGTCTGGGGATCAGAGCCGAGGCAGCCGACAGGAACTGAGAAAACCCTCTGTCCCAGGGAGGCTTGCCAACACTGCTGCCTGGTTCCATGTGCAGAAAACATTTGCGTGGAGGGCCCCGACTCCCAGCCCGGCAGCCAGACTGTGAGCAGAACGTGGGGGGTGGGGGGTGGGGGTGGGGGGCGAGGAATCTCCTGACGGCCCGTCGGCCTGGGACAGACAGGGAAGGCTGTCCGGCTTCCCTGCGCGTTTGTTTCATCCTGGGGCGGGCGGGTGGGCTCAGGCGGGCGGGCTCAGCTCCGTGACAGCCGGCTTCCAAGGGGTTTCTATTGCTCGCCGTGCGTGGTAATTAGCCGTGCATGGTAATTAGCAAGTATCGACGGGATCGCAGACCCAGGGAGCCCCGCAATGGACCGCCGTCCGCCGACGGACCCCCGCAAGCGAGCCTCCTCGCAGAGCGCGTCCCCTGCTTGCAGCACGCACGCCAGCCCGCTCGCACAAATGCGCCGTGCACCCGTTTTCCGTCACCTGCATTTAACCCAGCGCCCCCCCGCCCGGTTGGGTGGCCACGTCACGCGCTCCCCCTTCTCGCTCTGCACCCGGCCCACCTCACTCTCGGGCCGCTGGACGTAGGACCCGGTCAGACACCCGCCGCGGCCTGCCGTTCCGACGCCGACAGACGTGTGTCGAAGCGGGAGAACGTCTCCAGGAGTAAGGCTCTCCACCGCTCCCTTCCGCCGCGGGCTGTCTCACACAAAGCTCTTCCAAAGAGCTGCGCTCCGTCTGAGCGAGCATTTGCTGACTCACTCGGGGCGCGCACAGCTTCCAGGAAGCGGGGCTGGCAGTCGGTGCTGGCGAAGAAACCCAGGCGATTTTCCATTATTCCATGACCAGCTGGCAGGGAGGACGAGTGACCAAAATAGGAGTTTCTGGACATGAGGTCATGCAGACCGCGGTAAGGCAGCCGAGAGCCGTTGCTGCCGGTCCGTTTCAAATTGCTCCAAACGCTCCGCTCCGTCCGAGCCCCCGAGTCCCGGCCACAGACCGCGGCCTCCTCTGTCCGCTGCGTCGGGGAGAGCTGGCTCCACGCCGGACCCCAAACACAGCCAGGTGTGAAGGTAGCAGCAGCTCCAGGACAGAATTTGATCGTTGTAGTTACAAGGTTAAATTCTACTTAGAATTTCACAATTCTGAAGTCTGCCCTGGAGTCCGATTTTAATCAGTGGATTCAGCAAACAGGTGACCAGTTCCAGGGAGAGAGAGGGAGGGTTGGTGGTTATGGCTCAAGCCTTTACCTCCATAATTACTATGACATCGTTAGGTTTCTGTTAGGACTCTATTGTAACAGAAAACATTGCTGGATGTCGAAGATTCACTCATTGGCAATACAACAAATGAACAAACAATGAAAAGCTACAATGGCAAGAGGGAAAAATATCAGTGTAGCAGAAACCAAAATTTCCCTTTGCCGCCTTGTCCTGGGCTGGCCGTTCAGAGGATGGCGCAGCTCACACCGACAGACGTCGCGCACTCCTACCCAGTTTCCACCTCAGTCCCTTTGTCAGGATCTGCCCTCGGAAACACGGTCTGCAGGCCTCCAGCACAGATGCGGCAGGCAGCAGGGGCTGGCGAGGGCAGGGGGCCAAGGGGATTCTCGAGGAGTGCCTGTGGGAGTGTAAATTGGCGCAGCCACTATGAAAAACAGCACAAAGGTGCCACAAAATATCAAAAGGAGAAGTACCTCGGGACCCAGCAATTCCACTTCTGGGTATTTACCGGAGGAAAATAAAGACCCTAATTCGAAAACACTGGCACTGCTATGTCCCGTGCAGCGCTGTTTACAAGGGTCCAGATGCAGAAGCCACTCCAGGTGCCCATCGATGGGCAAGGGGATAAGACAGATGCTATGCATGCGCACCCAGACACGCGCGCGCACACACACACACACACAAACACACACAGAGTGGAATATTACTCAGCTATAAAAAAGGAATGAACTCTTGCCATTTGCAACAACATGAAGGGAGGTAGAGGGCATTATGCCGAGTGAAATAAGTCAGACAGAGGAGGAAAAATATCATGCGATCTCACTTGCATGTGGAACCGAAAGAACACAACAAATAAATAAAACAGAAACAGACCCACAGATACAGAGAAGCCGCTGATGGTTGCCAAAGGCGAGGGGAGGAGGGAGGGTGGGTGACTTTTTTAAAAGCAGAAAACAAAAGGGGAGAGAGAGAAAGATACATTATTCATCCGTCAGCGGCATTTAATCTCAAGGCGACTTGCGTTTATTCTTTACATTGTAGGACGCGGCACCAGGGTGGCAACGGAGGTAAAAGCCTCGCGGGCACGCGGGCGCCAGCCGGGCATTCTGCAGCGTTCACTTGTCAGCTGGCGGAAGCCTGCCTCTCGGAGAGCGTCGCGGAAGAGTCTAGAAGCGGATGGGCCCTGACTTCCCATTACAGGCTAGGAAAAGCTCTGGAAACTCTCTGAAAAACGTTAAATAACAACAAAGAAGGTATGGTGGGACCTTTAAAACGTCCCGAACTGACATTGATTTGATTTAAAATACTCTCCATCGACTATTGCAAGTGTGAACGGAAGGTCAGCGAGACACCCCGGAAGACGCAGGCCTGGTGGCCCGGGGACGCCGGAATTACCCCGGAGGTGCGTCTCGGCCACGCCCTTGACACTGTTCCTAAGACAGAGGAACCTGAGAGCAGGCCGAGTCTGTTTGCAAAGCGCCCTGTTCCGGGGGCTGATTTTTGCGGAGGTGACCTCCAGGCACTCTGGGGGCTTCCTGGCTGCCCTTCTTGCTGCCAGGCTGAGGGGTCACCGCCCAAGGCGTCCCGCTTCGGAGGACACGCCCCCTTCGGAGGACACGCCCCTTCGGAGGACACGCCCCCCTTCTGCGTCTGCTTGCCTGCAGCAGGGAACGCCCACCGGCGCTTGCTTTGGGCCCCGAGTTCTGCTAAGCTCTCAGCTCACGTTGCCGCTTTATTCTCGCCCACGACAGCCCCAGGAAGGAGGTACCCCAGGCGCCTCCACTTCACGGATCGGGGACGGCAGCCAGCTCTCGGACCCTGCTGGGCCAGTGGTTGGACTCACGGTCTCTTGTATCCAAAGTCACCCGTTTTGCCTGCTCCGCTAACACGGGACCGGGAGCTGCGAATGGCTTTCCTCTGCCCACTGCAGGACGCTCGGCTCTGTTAGGACCGGGAGCTGGAGGACCCCACGGGAGGGGAGGGGCGTGGCTTCCCGGACCTGCACGGTTGGCTCAGCAGGTTCCCGCACTGAACAGCGCCCCTGCAGGCTGCTTCCTGCAGCCCCTCCCTCCCGCAGCCCCGTCACCGCAGGGCCTCGGGTGAGCCGGCTCCCTGCGCATCCCAGAGAGCGGATGTCCGGCCAGTTCTATCCAGGCGGCCCCGTGGACACTTCTCCACCACCTGCTGAACCACAGCTTTGTCCTCTCCCCCATGTCTAGACCGCAGCCCCGGGGGTGGGGGCGGGGGGAGAAAGACCGCAGCTCTTTCTGGGGGCAGCGCCGGTCCTTCTGTCTCCTGTTCTCACCCGCACGCTTTCCCTTCCCTTCCCACCAGCCAGTCCCGCGTCACTGCGGTCCTCTGTCTTTGTTAATAATCACACAGGGTCAACTTTCCTGTTCAAGTTCCCGTGTGGTTTCTTGCTCCCCACTGGATGCGAACGGTGCAGACCAAGGCGCCGCACAGCCAAGCAACGGCTCAGGGGCGGCTGCCTCATCCCATGCAGGGAGATGGTCTCGGGAGGGCGGATGGTGCAGGTCCCGATGCAACATGGCAAACGTGCCCCTCCGGAGGGGAGGGCAGGCAGGGGAGGGGCAGGTGTCAGGAGGGGACCAGCGGCTCCCAGCAAAGGGGCCAGGTGTGCAGCCGTGGGTGGAGGGGCAGGGGCAGGTGTCACTGCTCCCCCCCAAGCTTCCTTCTCCCTCCTGGGGAGCCTCCTAGTGGGATTTGGGGCCTTCGGGATCCCGAGCCCTGCTCGGCGTGGTTTGCTCGCCGGTTCTCTGGGCGGCGGCCCCTTCCCTGGGAATCGGGAGGCGCAGGCTCCTGGGCCGGTGCCGGGCCGTGAGCGGCGGGTCAGAGGCTCCTGCTGGGCCTCGCCCCACCTCTCACTGAGCGGCTCCGTCCCCAGCACGAAACACATCACACAGCAATGTTTGAAGTTTTATAGTAACTGCATTTATTTCCATTTTTGATAAAAACTAGTAGGTTCTGAGCTCCCCAAACACACGTTCATAAACACAGTAAATGTTGCAAGGACACATGGCAGGCAGCCTTGCAGCCGGCGGGCCATCTTCAGAGAGGCAACCCTTCCTTGGGGATGGTTGGGGGGGGTCCATTGTGGGGGGGTCATTGTGTGGGGGGGTGGGGACGGTGGGGGTGCAGAGCACACCAAGGTCGCCTATAGTTATTTTCAGCCGATTCTGCCCTGACAGGGGCCATGGATGCAGACTCTTGCTAAACAGAGAAAGGCGGTGGGGGGGTGGGGGGAGTGGGGGGGACAGTGAGGGCTTCCTGGTCCCCACTTCAGGTCACAGGCACCAGGCCGCTTGCTCCCTGCTCTCGGGCGCAGCTCCCAGCACTAGGAGGCGCACACACCCAGAGAGATTGTAGACACACTGTGTGGTCACCCGGAGTCCGGGTTTGCAGAAGTGGCGGAAGCTGGGGTTGGTACTGCAAAAGGGATGTGTTTGGGTCCCAGCAATTTCATGGGGAAAAAAAAAGTGACCCCCCAGGGATCTATACCCACATGGGTGCGCAAAGCCCTTCTGCCGAGGTGGAAATGGGGGGCAGGGTGGGGACATCGGAAGCAAAAGGGAAAATTCAGAAGTAAGAAGGGAAGGGACCTGGTGGGTTCTGTGACGAGACGCCCCACCCATCTGCTGACCCACTTCCTGAAGCGTCATCGTTTCTGCTCGGTTTGGGTCGTCAACTCAGAAAACTAGGTTTTCCTTTATGAAAAAAAAAGTTGAAAAGTGAAATTAGGTGCTTGATGCCATGCTCAGTTTAATGGGTTACCCAGCGCGTGAAGCCGTCCCAGGTCCGGGCGGCGGGGCGGCGGGGCGGCCTGCGGTCAGACGGCGTTCCTTTGAAGGAGCTGGTCCAGCAGTTGCTGGGGGAGGACACAAAGAGGTCAAGTTCGGGGTCGGCATCTGCGCGCCACACACATCGCCCCTGCCTGCCGCCGGGCCGTTCGTTACCTTTTTGAAGACTTCCGCGCGGAGTCTGTTACTCTGCAAGATCAGCCTTTTCTTTTGCTCTTCTTTTTTCTTTTTGACTTCGGGCAAGTTGTTATAGATTCTGAAAGAGACGCAGACAACATTCTGAAAGGTCGCGAGACCACGTGTGCCCGTGTGGACCTGCGTCCCCACCTGTGGGCAGGTGCCTCCCTGTCCAAGGGAGACTCCGCTGCTCACCGGCCTTCTGGAATCTGAGACTCGGGGACCCAGGGCTCCCTGCGCCGTGTCCCGACCCGGGCTCCCCACCCCCGGCAGCCAGAGCCCGACAGGCGGAGCCCCAGGGAGGACCCCGCAGAAGAGGCCGCTGCGCCTTCAGAAGTTGCTTTTCTGGCCCCCACCCCCATTCTCCACAGTCATTAACTACTTCCTTGTACAACGAGGGGCCCCAAACCAGCGGCTCTGCTGCTCTGAGGGCAAACCTCTCCCCAAATCCCTTCATGCCGTGCAGTGTCTGCCTTCCTGCGACCTGGGAAAGGTGCAGCCGATGAGCGGAGGGGGCGGGACTTTCGCTGGAATCGCGCTCATCAATGCGCCTGCCTGCATGTGTGAGGTCTGTCTCCTCACCGACCGCATTCCCACCTGAACTGTTTCCAAACACATCCCAGGCGTGGGTGTGATGCTCTTGTGATGGTGTACAATTAGGGGCTTCCGAGTTACAAGCCGGGCCCCAGGGATCCTCCTTGTGGACCCTGCTTTCCTGCCGCTAATGCAGCTGTTTCCGTGCCGACGCGAAGCCGAGCTCGCTCAGCGCACACGGACGGCGTGGTCACCACCGCCGCTGGGGCTCTCGCACCGCTGCGCACGGGGCGCCCGGCCACAACAGCTCTTTTGCACCTTCTCTCCCGTGTGAAAGCCAGGCGGACTGTGGTGAACGGGTTCCGCTGTTAACATAATTACAACTAACATCATAACGATCCTGACTCGGACGACGTCGGTGCCTGACTTTGTCTTGGTTCCTGGGCACGAGGCTCCTCGCCCGACGTGCGTCTTCTCAGGTGCCCTCACGACCCCTGGGGGAAGCACAGTGACCTGCCCTCACCGGAGGAGGCGCCCCAGGCCGGCGAGGCCAGCGGACGTGCGGAAAGGCCCTCGGCTGGGATTCGAACCTCCCTCTGTTTGACCTTACACAGCCCTGTGCCCAGCTGTGGGGCAGAGGGGCCTGGAAACACTCGTTAGTGCCTGCCGGGGCCGGGCACCCTGCGGGCACCGACTGGACTGGACTGGAGTAAGTGAGAGGACACACATCGCCACCCCCGGGAGCTTTCTAGAGAGGCCTGCGCGGAGCCGCAGGAAAGCCGGTGTCGGAAAGCTCCGCAGCGGAAACCCCTCTGCACCCGGGGAGCCATCTCCCTGATGCGGACCGTCTGAAGCTCGTGGGGGGTTGGGGGTAAAAACTCCCGCAACTCACCCCTGGGGCTTTCGAGGCAGTATTTTTTTGTTTTTTAATTTTTACCCAAGGACGTGCTTATTGATTTTTAGAGAGAGGGGGAGGGAGGGAGATAAACATCAATGTGGGAGAGATACACTGATCTGTCGCCTCTCTCACACACCTGACCAGGGACCAAACCCGCCACCCAGGCCTCTGCCCCGACCGGGAATCGAACCCGTGACCTTCCGGTTTATGGGATGACACCAGCCCACTGAGCCACACCAGTCAGGGCCTGCAGTATTTTCTTAAAGAGCTTCCTGAATAAATTTTGGTACATCTACATAATAGGCCATTTTTGCAGAGAGTTAAAACCCACGAGTTAAATCATCTATATCCACATCTCCTGACCCAGGAAGACCTCATGGACATGTTGAAAAGTCAAAAAAGCAAGCTTCAGAAAGAGTAGGATCCCATAGATGGCTAAAAGTCAGACATCTGTATGTGTACACATAGAAGTCTGCTTTCAGGCGGAGGGAGGTCTGGAGGGGCGGCTGGCTGTCTCCAGAGAGGGGCCAGGGCTGGGGAGGGGGGTGGGCTGGGGCTAGTTGGTCATGAGGGACTTTAGCTGCATCTCTGCTGCTTGAACTTTTTAAATGAAAATGCAATTTAGCAACAATAGTCAATGACAAAGGATACAAAAGAAAGCACCAGGGGACTCTCGTGGGTGGGGCAAGTCTCGGGGCCACGGGCAGAGCCCACCCAGAGCACGACCCACCGAGCAGAGCGAAACCCAGGCCCCGGCTCATCGGAGACCGGCCTCTGGCGGGGGGGCCGGTGACTCGGGGGGCCGTCGCCTCACTCCCGTGTCCTGTCCAAGTGTCAGCTTCCACATCAGTAGAATGATGGGGCGATACGCTCTGTCCATGGCCGCTGCTTTGAAATCTATTGTTTTAGTTGGAAGCCTCCATCATCGCAGCTTTGGGTTTGGGGGACCGAGAAGCAAGGATCTGGCTGGAGTTTTTCACTAAATTGAAAGGGAATACTTTTGGCACGAGGCACGCATAACTCCGCACTTCTGAAACAGCGAGTCTCCAAGCCCGGTGGCGCTTTCAAGCCCCGGCCGGAGCGGCGTGAAGCAGGTCGTTAATGGGACGGTCCCCCTTGTCCTCGCCCGCGCGGGGTCATTTACCGAGAGCTTTCCCACGGAGGATCCAAGTTGGCTAATTATCACGGAAACATCACCATCATCATCATCACGGTAACAGCTGAGACGCGGCCCGAAGTGGGGGGGACACGCATTCTTCCTTCTGCCGCGGCTGCTCCGAGGGCACCCCGGTCTGGTTTAATGATCATAATTCTTCCCAGCGCTAGATACTCTATTATAAGTTAATGACATTCTGCCTGCGTGAACTTGGCCAACGTCGCTGCGTTATTATTCCCTTTCCATGAGGGGGCCAGGTCCGAGGAAGAATGGTGGCCTTTGTGTGCGCCGGGTTGGTGGGGATTCGTGGGCGTCCAGGTCAGCGCGCAGCCGAGCGGAGCAGGTCGCGCTCGCTGGCCGAGGGCCGCCCGGCCCGTGGGGGAGCCGGAGCCAGGAAGGCAGGCCTGTGGCCCTCGGCGGCTGCCCTGGAGCCCACGTGCCATCAGCCTCCAGGTCTGGGTCCTTTCCCACAGGCCTCGCCACGGTCAAGGTCCTCGAAGAACCAGTCTCTCTCCCCCTCGTACCATCACCTCAGGAGGTGCACGGGGGCCCAACAGCACCTGCCCGGAGTGGGGGGTGGGGGGGGCGTGTCGTCCCCGCTGTGAGTCTGGAGATCTCTCGGAGACCAATTACTGGGTCGGCTCCGCATCCAAGACCCACCACTTTCCGAAGGATTTTCCAAGAACGGCATTAACGTTCGGAGGCAAAGTTGGACGACCACACTTGTGCGAACCAGCTTTTCAAGTTCACGGCCAAGAAGACCTCAGACCTTAAACGTGGGACCTGGAAACTGGCCCCGCCGGATAGGGCGGGGACCCGTGACGCTGCCCGGTGCCCCCCCACCCCACCCCGCACAACCCCCAGGTACCTTTTAGAGCGCATGTGCATCTCCTTCTCCGAAATGTACCTTTCTTTGGGCTTGAACAAGTTATCTGGAAGACACGGAGAGAGGGTTAGCTTCGGAAGGCACGGCGTCGCACCTGTCTGGAGGAGAATGACCGCAGAGAACTTAGCACACACTCTGTTCCTGCCCCCTCCTCCGGGCCCCTGCCTGCCACAGACACTGCCGGCCTCCGCAGACACTCACGCGCCACGGAAACCTCAACCCACAGGCGGGCTTGACAACGGCGGCCCGGGGCACGAGGCACCAGGGTGGCATCTGACGCGCCTCACGGACGGAGGGGCCCCTCTGTGTGTCCGTGCAGAGAGGGGCGGAGAGTCGGGGTTTGCAGGGGCAGTGCCAGGGCGCCTCCGTCTCACCTTTGGGGGGGGCCCGGGGGCGCAGGCACCCCACCCACAAACACCCCCGCACTGGGTCCGGGTGCCCCTAAGGACAGGGCACCGTCCCAGTGGGGTGTTTTCAGAGCAGGCGCTGCTGCTACGCCTCGAGCCCCCCGGGAGCTTGGCATCCACTCTGACGTCGGACGATGTAAGGGACCACGTCATAGCAGCATGTGCCCAGCACCCTGTGAGCGAGCAAGTGCACAATGGCAAAAAGACCCAGTAAGCTTGCACCGTCTTGTGATACACGTGTGTGCTGCTGACCCCCAGATGCTCACCGGCGGCACACTCACAGTGGGGCGTGCTTCCAGAAAGACAGCACAGACCCTTCTGCAGTGACTCCGAATTCCCACGAGACTCTCCGCCCTCCATCGGCCCAGAGTCTGGTGTGCAAACAGGCTCCGGGAGCCTGTGGCACGGGCGTCCCGGGGCAGCTGCCTCACTTTCTGGAACACACCTGTGGGGCGGCCCTGCGCCCGCGTCACTCAGCACACGCAGACGGGTGGGGGGAGAAGGGCTCGGCACCCTCGCTCCTGCCAGAGCTGGAGCGGCTCCCTGTGGTCTGCAGCGTGGACCCCGCCCCCCCAAACCGGCGTGTCCCGTCACTGAGCACTCCAGTGGAGACACAGAAGACTTCTCGGGCTTGAGAATCCGTGAGGAGGTGGGGCAGAGCCAGGACTACTCAGAACCGCCTTCCCCTCGGGGGACGAGACGTGTGATGCGGCTCCTGACGCGCTGCGTGGAAACGGCCGGGGCTGCGCCTGTGCTCTGTCCAGTTACATCAACATGAAGAAGAAACATGGCACCATCACTGAACTTCGAAGACCGGAGTCCACGGAGGAGCAAGACGGAGGGGGAAACCAGAAGGCCTTTGCCAGGGTGGGGACGACGCCCCGGCGTGTGGGAAGGCGTCGGGCCCGGAGAGCCGGGGGCACCACCACGACGCTGTGCTCTGCCAAGACACCCCCCCCCAGAACCCCCCAGCTTTCACTCCAGACAGGCCAGAACCCAGGGCATCGGGACAATCCCGGCGACACTCCCTAAGGAGCGGGGGCCGCCTCAAGGCAGTCGGGGTCCTGGGCAAGCCAACACGTGGCGGCTCGGAGCATCCCACTCGGGGTGGGGACAGAGCGCCCCCCACAGAGGCCCAGGCTCACGTCTGGGTCCGCAGCCCTCGGGCCGCTCCGGTTTGGGGTGAGGCCCCCCTGGAGGGAAGGACATTGTCCCCAGGGGATAAAACCGTTACAGCCTCTCAAACCGACTGTATGTGTGGTCTACTCTCGAAAAATAATTTCGTGGGTTATTATTGTTAATGTGGTTTATTTCTTCAGAGGACCCAATGGTGCCACAGTGAAGCTTCGGTTTTGTTTCCAGGAGGGAACAGGAGCACCTCGCCTCTGACGTGCTCTCGCGATGACCAAACCCTGCGCCGGGTTAACGTTCTTGTTCTTCTGAAACCACTTCCAGCCTCCTGTGGACTTCTGCACGTGAAGGACGGTCCATGCGGTGGGCAGCCTGCTCCGGGGGTCTGGGAGGTGGACGGTGGCTACGCAGACGCGGGCGTCACTGGGAAACCAGCCCCGTGGGTCAGCTGCCGTCCAGGCAGGGCGAGGGGCTGAGGTCCCGTGGGGTCTGTTGCAGGCGCGGGAAACGAGGAGACCGAGCAGAGAGCGGAGGTGGCTCTGCAGACACCCACCCCTTCTGCTTGCAGAAGCAAAGCCGGGAGGGGCTCCTGGTCAGGGAGGAGAGATTCACTGTCTTCACAGAGAGCTCGGCTGCTGCACGGAGATTGGCCTGGGTCAGAGCGGGGGCACCACCTCGGGGGCTTCCCTGAGAGGACAGGTCTTCCTAACAGGCAATCAGGTGCAACAGGGGTGATGAGGCCCAGGGTGGTGGCTTCGGCCCCCAACTAGAAGCACAGACCCCCAAGTCCAACCATCTGTGAAGAACATTTCTGTAGAGAAGCAGAGCCCTAACGTCATGCCTGGGACCATGCACATATATTTACATATGAAAAATCTGGTGGACTCTTGCCACATTTTCTCAAGAACATGTATGTGTGCCTTCAACGGCAAGTTCAAGTTACTCATTTAGGGGGACTTCAACAGTAACAGTGACTCCAATGGCACACTTCACCATGACACCGCGCTGTCCGACCGTGGCTGGGAGGGCCACCGTTTGCCCCAGTTTCGGGGTCTCCCAGAGTGTTGATGAAAACCCCCAGACGTGCTGGGGTGGCGGTGGCAAGCGAATGCTCCCCCTCACCGCGAGGGCACTCACGTCCTCAGTGTCACCACGAGGCTCGTCCCCGAAGCGCCCTGCAGGACAGGAGCATGTCACTTGGAAAGCAAAGCTGAGGCAGCTGGCAGAAGAATCCCGGAGAAAGTCACTTTTTTCTTACCATTCTGCAACTCGGTGTGTGTTTACCCTCGTTCAGGTAACTGGAAACAGCCCGCCCCTGAGGTCGACTTTTAATCAACGGACAGAAATTGATCTGTTTTTCCCCAGGTTTCTTAAAAACAAGACCTCTGTCATCAGTCTGAGAAGGGCACTAATGATAATGCCCATGTAAATGTCCTTGAATCAGGGAAATGACCTTTTAGCTACATCATGCTTCTTGCTTTCTTGGCACACGGAGTAACAATTTACTGTTACCCGACAGGCACATTTTAAAATTCCTTTGTGAGTAATACTGGGAGAACTACTCCCAAGTGCCATTCACACGTCTTGGGGGAAAGTGTGCCTGAGACCAGGGCAGGCGCCGGTCGGAAGGCCGTGGCCGTGCGGGATCCGCGTGATGAATGGCTCACGGTTGTCACGGCGGCGACTTCTGCCCTCTCAGGTCAGATCTGTGGCCACTTGTCCAGCTCGCAGCTCTGGAAGTGCAAAGTCACTTTAATGTGATGCTGGCTCCGGCCAGGAACACGCGGCAAGGGCAGCTCTGCTGCAGGGGGAGCTGCTGGAGGCAGGGCACCCGGCGACCTCTCCTTCCTGGGCTCTCGCACCCCCACCCCGCACCCCGATTCACCCGAACACAGTCCGGGGGGCTCCTCCATCAGAAGCCTTGCACATCCCCAGGTAAGAGCAAGCCCACGGTGGCGGGTCTCCATGGCAACCCAGAAACGCTCCCCTCCTGACACTTAGCAAATCCCAACGTCCTTGCCTCTCTATCTGCACGTTCTCCCCACGATCTGGGGAGATCCGTGAGACCGGGGACTGTGCGTGGCGCACAGTGGGTTCTCAAGGGAGGCAGGCGTGCTCACAGACGGACGAGGACGCTCCCAGGGTCACGGCTGGGACCACGCAGAGGTGGCCCAGGTGGCTCCCAGGCGAGGAAGGAGACACATGTTAATCAGCTTTGGGAACTCAAGCTGCCGCCGCAGAGGCAGTCAGGAAAGATGGGCTGGGCCATAGGAGGGACCTTTCTAATGTCACCTCCTGGTCCCTCTGTCTGCATCAAAGTGCCCTCACCTCTACACGGGGGACCCACGCAGTGCTCACATACGTGTGCAAGCACACGTGCACACTGCCCGGGCCGTTAAAACCGCTCAGAACTCATCGGCCAACAGGATGCAGAGCTGGCCCTCTGGGCCTCATTGTCGTTGTCCCTGCGTGTCAGGTGACGGCTGTCCCGGCAGCCCCTGCCCCGGTGGGCACCTGCCAGTGGCTGGAGCTCCCACCGGAACCTCTCCTGTCTGTGCTGGATCGAGACGGCCGGGCCAGCCCAGACCGGGGACAGCCACCCCGCTCGGGAAGCAACCCGGTCTTCTCCCGAGCAGACGTCCGGACGCCGCAGCCAGAGCCCACCCGCTCACGCACGTGATCTGGGAACGAGCTCGGCAAGGACGAGAAACACCTGCATTCCGCCTGAGTCGGCCGCCAGCAGACGGGCCGAGGACGAGCTGTGCGCTCCGGGCGTGTTCCGTGGGGCCGCGCGCCGCCCCTCTCCGCCCGAGCTCCCCGGAAGGAGGCTCTGGTTTCAGAGCCCGTCTGCTCCAACTGACCTGACACGTGCACACACACACACACACATGCACACACATGCACGCACACACGCATCGGGACGGCAGGACGGGCAGGTGCCCCGGGGAAGGAGGGCCCGGGCCTGCTGGAGCTTGGGGGCTCACAGGAATCCTGCGACAACTCCCTCTGTCCTCTGGCGCGTGGTTTCACGTCCTGGAGGCCAGAACGTTTCCCTAGGAAGAAGGACCTCACTCCCCCATCCAAAGGAGTGAATCCGAGGCCTCCCCGCCCCCGGCTTCCCAGCTGCAGGCCGTCAGCGTGCGCTGTGGGCCCTGATCTCACTCTCGTCTCTTCTTGTCGTTCTTGCTGGTTTAATGGGCGGTTTACGAGCTCCCTGAGGGGAGGACTGAGGTCACTCCTGCCCACTCTGCTGTCCCAGCTCCTGGCCCGGGGGGCGGGGTCCTGATGGCCCCTTCTCTGGCGAGCATGACGGAGTGCCGCCCGGCAGGCGCAACAGGACCCTAGCTCCGCTGCCCCTCGAAGGCCGGTCCCTGTGCCCGGAGCTCACCGCACGCAAGGGGCTCCGAGAGGACGCGCACTGATGCGGACAAGCTGGGGTCAGCCCCCGCCCTGAGGTCCGTTTTGCAACCTATGAAGGGCAAAGGGGGTCTCTTGCAAACGTCGGTCAGGAGCCAAGAACCCTGACGTTGCCGCCCTGGCTGTGCAGTGGGGCGGCTCCCTTCCTGGCCCTCCTGGGGAATCGTGTCCCGAGTTACATCCGCTGGGTTCTGCACCCTATTAGAATCTCCTGAAATGGGATGGCTTCCGGGGTCGGCTTTGTGAGACTGAGGGTTCGGTGCCCGGGGTGAACGCAGGTCCTGCGCACGCCAGCGGCAGCACCATGGAGACCAGCCCCTGGGGTGCAGGTTCCAGCCCTGAGAACCCCCAGCCCCGCCACCCTCCCCAGCCATCGAGCTCACCGCTAAGCGGGTGGGGGACGGTGAACTGCTTCTTGCTGGCGCGGACGGGCAGGGGGCCCTGCCTCGGCCCCGGGCCGTCCTTCCGCTGGGCCCTCCTCTGCTGGATCATGCGCTCCAGCCGCCGCAGCCGCTCCTGCGAGCGGGAGATGAACTGGGGCTTCCGCACCTCCAGGGCTTCCTGATGGGGGCCGAGAAAACACGTTAGTTTTGAGAGAGGGGGTCACAGGAGGGCGCACGTCCGTCTGCTCCGGTCAGGAAGCTGATCGGAAGGACGGCGCTCAGAGACCAAAAGCCACAGCGCACACGCGTGTCACCGTTTTCTGGCACCAGTTCATGGAAGGGCCGCCGCAGGCCTGTTGCGGGCAGGTCCCCTGGTCCCCGCCGGCACCCAGGGCCCCACGGCGGCACGGCGGACGGTCACCGGCACCCAGGCTACGAGAGCCAAGGCAGACGTCCACCCGTTCCTGCCTGCACCCCGTCAGTCCCTTCGTCTCCCACAGACCCAGGCTGGAACTCACCCTGAGTTCCGTCTCCCAGACACAGGGGTGGGGAGGGACGGGGCACCACGAGACACTCGCTGCGGCTGGGGGCCGGACGGACGCCTGAGGCAGCGCAGACCCCCCGGGTAACGCCCCCCTCCTCCCAGGGAGAGGGTCTCGCCACACTATCTCTGCCTTGCAAAATGGTTCCGCATGCCCCCCAGAGCAGGCCAGAACTCCCCACGTTCCCTCTCCGGCCCGTCTCTCACACCCTGCGCACCCCTCGCGCTGAGCCGCCCACGCAGGACTGCTGACACCGAGTACCACCCCCGGGCCGGGCGTTTGGTGGGCGTCCACCGTCTCTCTGGGAATCCCCGCACCGGTGCTGGGCGGCAGACAGCTGTGGCCCCATGTGACCGATGCAAAAACCAAGGCTTGCTGTAGCTGGGTGGCGCCCCCTAGGGGAGGGCCACGCCTTCCCCACACCGCCTTCCCTCGCCTCGACCAGCTGTGCCGTGAAACTCTCTGTTCCGGGTGCCCCCTGCCTCAGCTACTATCCCAGCTGCAGCCACCGGCTCGAGCCCCAGCTCTCCCAGGGAGCTCTGGGGTTCCCCCCGTTCAGCCTGACCATCCGGGGGCCTCACAGACCACCCGGTGCAGGAGGGACTCGCACGTGTCCACCTCCATGCTGACCCGTGAGCCCCTGATGGCTCAGGTCGTGTCTCTCCCACACGGTACCCCCCACAGCCAGTACCCCGACCTCTGCACATAGTAGGTCCTCAGCAAAGGCCCGCTGGAGGCACTGCCCCATCCCTTTCCCAGCCCTCGGGGAGCTCAGAGTTCCCGAGGGGAGGGCGCTTGGGGCCCCTTCTGTTCAAGGACGAGCCCCTGGCAGCTGGGCCAGGAGAGGAGTCGTCTTGGAGCCAGACCTTCCAGGGACCGGACGCAAGTCCCCGGGGCCTGGCGCGCTGGCCCCTGGGGACGGCCTCTCGGCCAGGTGAGGCTGCCGCCTTGGCCGCCTGTCCTGAGGCTGGAGGCTCAGGCTGCTCTGGGGCCCTCTGAGCCCCTCTCTGTGGAGGGACCCCCAGGGTGCAGGGCCCGACGACAGGCCACCTCCCCACATGCGGGGCGGTTTACAGCATCACAGGGGGCTCCCCCCCCAGAAGGTGTGGCTGTCAGTCCACCGGGAGCGAGGGCGCTCTGCGAGGGGCCTGCCCTTCCCGTCGCTCTGCCTCCGAGCTTCCGAACTTCACGGATGTGCAGGTCTTCCCTCCACAACCCGCATAAGACGCCACGTGGAGGCCGCCCTGCACTTGAACTCAGGGCTGCTCGACTTTGGGCAACTTCCTCCATCCTCCAAAGGCTTCATGGCCCTGTCTGAGGACGGGGTCACAGGGACCCCTGCCCCAAAGGGGGGCCCTGAGGCCGGGCGGCGCCGACACCTATGAAGTGACCTGCCCCACCCCAGGCGCCATGACTGTTCAGCAAAGGCTGTGGTCATTGCTGTGGCCGTTGTCCCTGCTGAGGTGATGCCACCCCCATCCTTGCTCAGTGGCTGGCGTAGGTCTCATTATCTCCACGACTCGCACTGTGAGACAGAGGCCCAGAGAGGTTAGGGCACCTGCCCAGAGTCACACAGCCACAACAGAGCAGAGTCAGGTCTGCAGCCCCAGAAGCAGAAGTGAGCTTGTGGGACCCCAGGACCCCCAGGAAGGGTCTCCCCGTGGCGGGAACCAAGGCTGGGCAGGCAGAAGGCCTTACCTGCAAGGTCAAGGAGGCGGCGGCCAGCGGTGGCTGGCACTCCGAGAGGTCTTCCTGCGGGTCAGGGGCCTCCGGTTCCGCGGAGGGCGCCGGCCGGTGTGGCACGGGCGTGGGCACGGGCTCAGGCCTGGGCTCGGGGGCGGGCGCAGGGGTGGCCGAGGCCTCGCTCCTCTGGCATTCCTTCAGCTTCACCACCAAATCGCAGCACGTGTAATCGCCTAGGAGAGGAGGGCAGACCCCAGTCAGAGGGCACTGGGCGGTTCTCCTGGGCTGTCCACCATCATTCCTCGGGGTTCCTGGGAGTTTTTCCTCAAAGCTCAGTCGTGTCGGCCCAGCTCGGCTGGACACCCGGGGCCCTGCGTGCACCTTCTGGGAACAACGCTGCTCCCTGTGAAGGGCTATTTTTGAAAATTGGAACCAGAGAGAGTCCCCAGGGCCCCCGAGGAGAGACACCCACTGCGGGAACAAGGTAACGAAGGATGAATCTGGCGGCCGAACGAGCCCGGGTCCCTGCCGGCCGGCAGGGGAAGGGGAGAGCGAGCCCCTGATGCCGGCGGCTTCCTCTGCCCGGTCTCCCAGGGTACGGGGCTCAGACACCTCACGTCCCCGGTCCCTTCCTTCCCCCTTCCCTCCCCAGATGACCATCATTCCCCAGGGAACTCTGCAGCTGGTGTCCCGGCAGCCAGACGCCCTGCCATCGTCCCCACTGAGTGTGCACTTGCTGAGCTCTTTATTTTCACCTCTGCGAGTCATTCGCAAGAAACAAAACATATCTCATTCACGAGCTCGCCCTGAGAGACCGCTCGGGTCCACAAAGACGGAAACACGTCTAGCTGCTTTCTTAAACGGCCTAGTGCGTGCCTGTGTCCGGGAGGAGCGTTCCCCTCATGCCCCGACGAGGGGAGGGACTTCTTTGTGAAAACAAACGTGTCGCCGTCTTACTGCAAACCGTCCCTTGGGAGCAACGTGGAGAGGGCAGAAGTCACTGGGAATCCCCCCGCGGTCCCTGACCCACGCGTCACGGGCAAGCCCGGGGACAGGAGACAGGCCCCGTGCGAGCTTGCCCTTGCTGGCTGTGTCAGGCCGGCCCGCGGAGGAAACCACTTCCTTCTGACTCGGAAAGGGTCGGGGGAAGACAGCTGCGTGCCGTTTCGCACACACACGTGCACCTCTGGCCGTGACTGACACGGAGTGGCCGCAGGGTGCACCCCCTTCTGCCCCACGCCCCCTCCACCTTCCCCTTCTGGGCCAGACTATCCAGCTTACTCAACATTTCAAGAAACCAGGGAAGAAGGCGGTCGATTTGGCTTCCATTCAGCGCCCCAGGAGGGTTTCCCCAGCGGGGGTGTCCAACCTTGGGGCGCCCCCGGGCCCCGCTGGAAGAGGAGGAGTCGTCTCGGGCCACACATTAAATACACAGACACTGACGCAAACAAGAAAAATCTCATCGTGTTTTAAGTAAATGTACGACTCTCTGCTGGCCGCATTCACAGCCCCCGGGCCGTGGGGTTGGACGCCCCTGCTCTAACCCATTTCTCCGGACGGGCCCTGCCAGCCCTCACACCCCCGGCTCTCCCGGGTCCTGCCACGCCAGTGGCCATCCTTGTGTCTCCCCTGATGCCTTCCAAAGACATCTTTGGGGTCAAACTGTGGAGTAAACCCAGCACGTAAACCCAGCACCCTTTAAAAAGTGAGACTCCAGGCACAGACCCTCTTGAGGTGGCATTCGTGCTGATTAAGAAAAATGCTTATGAAAATGGTCAGCATTAGCACCTTACGCGTCAGCCTCAGGGAGGCGGGGGGAGGGGCACGAGACCCCCCTCTGTGTACTATGGTGCCGTGTCTCTAAGTCTGAAGTTCGTTCAAGCATGGATGGTTTTAAAAATGGTCACGTGGTGACAGGCTCCAACAGACCCGACAGAGAGGCAGTTTTCACCAAGGGTTGAAGTCATTCTCAGCACCTCTGCAGTGCCCTTGCGGCCTGTGTCTCTGCCGGTCCACTAGGAACGGCACGAACACGGGGGCGGGGGAGTCCCGTGCTGTGAGTGTTAAAACACCCGGAGGCTTCTCCGCTCGGCTCATGGGCCCGTCAGTCTGCTGCCCAGCAGAGGTGGGCCGGCGGCTCCTGGGAACCGCCCCCCCCCCCCAGGCCAGCTCTGCCCACCACGCACCGTGCAGCCCTCCGGAGCGGCGAGTGCCCGGACTCTCCCAGGGTGGCCGGGTTTGGGGCGCGGCGCCGTTCCAAGAGAGGGAAGGTGTTTCACATACAGATGGAGGAAAGAGTTTGGGACACACGCCCAGAGGCCTGCCTGGGGCCACCTCCCACGGGCCCTGTGACCGGGCACAAGCCACCCGGCCCACCTGGCCTCAAGTTACTCACCTGCACAATGGGACAGCAGCAACCTCCCTGCCCTGCGCGGGGGACGCGGACACTGCGAAAACTCAGAACAGAGCGCTGCGCAAAGGTGAGTCCGTGTTACAGTTTCACCGGCCCTAAGACAGCCCGTAGGTGAGGCACCGCCTTGAAAGTACGGTCCTCACAAGGATGCGGACAGAGTCCTTGCTTCAAATCCAGGAAGACGTACACACGCCAGGAGACACGGGCAGGGACACCGTTGCTCCGTCCTCGACCCGTGTCGCATTCCCAGGTCCAGGGGCTGCATTTCCCGCGCATTGCGTTAGACCAAGTGGAGGAAGGCTGGGAAGGTCGGTGTGGGCCAGAGGCTGCGCCCCCTTCCACGGAAGATAAGAGCTGGCCTTTGCGGGGGCAAACCCAGCCGCCATCCTCTGGGGGATGCTGGGTGGGGGGGCGGAGGAGTGAGGGAGGGCACAGGGGAGGGAGGTCTGATCTTCAGCCCTCCCCCCTGCCCCCCCTCCCCGGCTCTGGCCTCGTCCCTTAAATGTGCAAGCCCCCTCCTGGTGCCGTGTCAGGGCCTTCTCTGCGGGGAAGCAGGTGAGAGGGCAGGAAGAGGCACGAGCTGCAGGGGCTGGAGAAGCTCTGAGACCCTCCAGGGACCTTCAAATGCACAAAGAGGCCTGAAGGGGCGCCCCGGCCCCTCTGGACCTTCCTGTCACTCTGCTCGCCTTCGGAGACGCCCTCTTACCTGGCTGCTGATGATACGGGCCCTGGGGTGGGGAGGGGTGCGGGGAGAGTCAGGCTCAGCCTCCACCAGACCCCAAACAGCCGCCCGAGGTCAGCGCAGGCCTGCAAACACCCGGAATGTCTCGGGAGAGTCCTGCTGCAGTGGGACACGCCCTGGGGTCACACAGGTACGCCCTGGGGTCACACAGGTACACCCTGGGATCAGGACGGCGAGTTCAGTGAGAATCAATCGACAAGGCCTGGGGTTCGCAGCCAGCTGGCAGCTGGGGACGTGCCCTGCAGCCAGGCCTCCACGTGGCCGAGGGCCTGCTGTTACTTATGCACGGAGGAGGGGGGAGATTCATTTTCTCCATGAAGATGCCTTTCTCTCATTAACGCTAATGAGCGTCACGTGGCTGAGCTGAAGGCATTTCATCTTCCAGATTTTCTAAAAATAAAACGTGGTGAGGGAAAACACATGTATTGTTTCTATTTGAGATTGTAAAAACACAAACGAAAAGGAAACAGGCAGACGCCCATGAGGTCCCGCTCCCCGTCGGTTGCAGCAGCAGATTGGGGGGCTCAACACGGAGCAGGTCTGGGTGTGGGCGGGGCACGAGGAGCCCCTGCTGGACCTGCCGAGGGAGCGCAGCATGGGTCCCGCCCCGCTGGCCCTGGCACGGCGCGCCCCTCTTCCTGGGCTGGCGCCCGGGCTCCGGAGAGGGTTCCCTAGCTGGTCGGCGATGGCAGGGCCCGTAGGAAGGTTCAGAGTAAGAGCGGTCATCCAGAAAATCTCACTGTAAAGAATGTTACTAAAGGGGGATTTTTAAGAAAGTCCTAATGACGTTCACCAGACGTGTGTAATTACGTATGGCAGGAATTTAAAAAAAATATCTCTTGCGTATAATAAACCACACGTAAACACACAAACACCCTTTTAAAGTCCCCTGTTGGCAGAAAAGGCGGTGGCGAGGTGGCAGCACCATTCTGACCCTGACCGTGACCCTGACCGCACCAGGGCCCAGATGCAGCGCGCCCCAAGACGGCGGCACGGGAAAGTGAGCCTCCGGCCCGCCTTGCCACCGCAGGCGTCGTGTTTTCTGTGAAAGTGGCTGAATTTGCTCTGTCTTCCATTGGCGTTACCATTTCTAGTTTCTGCCCAGGGTCATGCACAGTTTTTTACTCGTCCCATCCCGAGAGCCTGAGGGCACCTTCAGACGCGGCCACGCCTCCACGCACGCCCGGTCCGGGGCCTGGGGCCCGCAGACTCTCCCGGTCTCTGCTGGGCGGCGCGGCCTGTCCCCCGGGGCCGGGGGCCGCCTAAGGTCCACGCACCATCTCGTGCGTTTGAACTGGACTCCGTGCCTTATTCACCCCCGAATCCAGGCGACACCTTGATTCCTTCCGTACCCAGCGGCCCTGTGAACTCTCCACCACCTCTCCGCACAGCTCCCCCCCGGGGTGACCCCCTGCAGTGTTCACGGTCTTGCTGTCACCTCACAGCTTGACACGATGTAGCAGTGTGACAACTTTCTGCTTAAATCCCAACAGCCAGCGTCCATCCCGCCTGCAGCTAGCTCTCCCTGGTTCTCCCAGCGCGATCCGGCTTTCTCGGCCCCTCCCTGCTCCCTTTCCTCTCTGGTTCCGCTGGCCTTGCCCTTGACCCTGGAAGGTGCCAGCTCCGCTCTTGACCACATCCAGAGTTGTAGATCGGCTGTCCCTTCTGCCCCAAGTGCTCATCCTCTCCACCTTTACAAGGTGGGCTCCTTCTTATCGCCCGGATCTTGGCCGAAACATCACCCCCTCGGAGACGTCTTTCCTGACCCGTCCACTGACAGAGGCCGACAGGGCCCAGCTCAGCTGCACCGCCGGCTCCAGCACGCCCTGCAGGAGCTCTCACTGCCTCTCACACTTCCTCCTGGCCACACTCCCATCTGTCGCCCGCCTCTGTCCTCTCAACAGCAAGCGCCGTGAGCAGGGACCTCCCGACACCTGGCTGATGCTGGCCCTCGGGAGACACCTGTCAGCTGACTCACATGGCGTGTCTCAGTAAGGAAGGGCACTCAGCCCACAAGGAGCCTGGCAACGTCCTCAACACGCACCTGCCTGCCCGGCACCAGTAGATGGAGAGAGAGA